GGAAAGGATTCCTCATCTATAAGTAATCCATTAACAGAGTGTGTTAATCCATGTGTTTTCAGTTTCACCATTGCAAACAATAAGCTATTTCAGTGAACTGACACCATTATTTGCAACTCTCCTGGCAGTTGTTCAAATCAGTGCCAACTGCAGACTCTCAGCCTTTTTCTCTGTCTTGTTCAGTGGCAATAGACACAGTCTCTAATTATTCTTACATACAGTCTCAGCTTAACTTTCATGTACAGTATAATTGCCGTTATGTCTCATAAAAATGGTTCACAAACTTTTTGGATCAATAAATCCTGTCAGCTCTGAGGATTTTTCATGACCATTATGCATCCCTATCATCAAGGTTTTAACTGAATACATGGTAAAAACCGTTAGGACCTGATGTGATGTGCAGGCCAGTTATGGGTCACTTACCCCATGGCTTTTTAAGATTGCCAGTGATTCACAAACTACAATTTGGAACCCGCTGTTTTAGGGTGATAGGGTGATTGCAGCTGCATTGGGATACAGAACTACCTATGTCTTTTGCTTCATTGGTTCTCTTCTTCCCATAGGTGTGATGTTTGTTTCTTATATGCCACCATGAGCCTTTTGGATAGGGTGGGATATAAATCTAAATAAATAATAATAAAGTTTGTTGTGGAAATGGATTCTTTCTCCTCAACTCGGGAAAAACTTTCTTACTATAAGGGTGGCTAAGCATTGGAACAGGCTACCTAGAAAAGTTGTGGAATCTCCATGCTTGGAAATTTTCAAGAAGAGGTTAGATAGACACTTGACTGGGATACCTTAGTCAGGGTGCTCTTGCAATGAGCAGGGGTTTGGACTAAATGACATCCTGAAGTCCCTTCCAGCCCTATATTTCTGTGATATTCACTTTCTGTCAGTTCCTCTTACTTTTGTTTCAGATTCAATCTGTTTGGTTATATGTGCTTGTTAAAGAGTGAATTACTTTTTGAAGGAATGTCGGTTGCTTGATGTCCTATCTGTTCTCATAGTAGAACTATGCTTAGAAGTTGAGGATTTTTGGGTGGTTGTATAGACTTTAGCTAAGCTGTGAAAGAAGCCTTGTAAACAAGTCTTTGCAGTAGAAGTAGAGTATATGTAATTATACCCTTTTTCCTATAAAAGTGTAAATCCTCTAATTTTCCCATGTAAAATAATTGACTAATTCTGCCTTTCCAGATAGCTCAGCTATAGGATAATCCAAATCTTTAAGGCCAGCTTCAAGGAGTGAACACAAAATGAATAATAGAGCTCAGTTCCCAAGATGCAGAGGGCCACCAGTGTGAACCTGGAAGACTTGAAAATGTCTGCCTGCAGCAACTTTGTGGAACACATTTGGAAGCCTGGCTCCTGCAAAAACTGCTTTTGTCCTAAAGCTTCCCACAGACTGCAGACATCCCTGGAACTGGGAGCCAGCAACGTGCCCTTGCACAGCCGGAATGGAGTTAGAGCCAAGCCTGAGAAAATACCTTCAGAAGATACATGTGTAACTGCCTCGCCCTACACAAAGCCGACAATCGCTGTGAAGCCAACGATGATAAACTCAGATGTCTCTGACGTATGGGCGGATGTGAATATGAATGCAGATATTTCACAGGTAATGATTAATGAAGGGAGTGGTATTTTACAGTGTTCCTTTCACGTAAGGCTTGCATTTGGTTGGCAACAATATGGATATTTGTTATGATGGGTATATATTAAGCCTACCTCCGTTATCTTTATCCATTTTTTTTAAACCAGAATCTTTATTTTTTTTTCTTCTTCTTTCCATTTGGTTTTTAAACCCAGTTACATTAGAGTCTTTCAGTTTCTAATGCAAAACACTTAGCAAAATCTGGTGGAAAACTTGTTAAAATGATATAATATTGAACTAGATTATACATGTAATTCTCAAAGAATCATTCATAAACTTGTTAGGTTAAAAAGACTCTTATCTTGTTGCTTTTTTAATTGCAATATTGTGGATTTGATACACACCTCTCTTCTTCCTGTAACAGAGATTAGCCTGACAACCCCAAGGGCTGAATTCCTCTGATTTTTGTACAGAATGTATTAAACATTCATTTTTCCATTCATGACCCAGCCACTGTATCTCAGTTCTGACCTGGAGGGTCCACCTCGAAGGATGAGGGGATCTACATGTCCATGTAGTCCTTGGCTTTTCTGCTACACCTGAGGCTGCCAACTGAATTGGCAGTTCCCGTGGCTAGATACCTGCTCGCTAGGAAACTATATTTTCATATAGATGACCAAACCATCATCCATTTTTAATGGACTCTTAATTGGTTAATGGATCACTAACCGCCTGTGCCAGTGAACTGGCTAATGTGAACGTTTTACTGCCTGATTTATAAATCTCTTCAACCCATTCAGTTCTTTTTAATATACCGTTAAAGGCGATGAACTGAAGGAGAACATTGCATTAAATAGTGGTTAGTGCTAGAGATGGGACTAAGTGGCATAGTTCAGATCAACATTTTCTTCAAAAAAGTGTGAGTAATTTTTGGATCTGGAGAGTGATTCAAGTCCATTCTAATTATGACAGAAATAATTTGGTAAGGGATTCTGAATACCATGCATGAGTTTTACATTGTTTTTAGTCCCACCCACCTGTCTGACCACCTTGACTAGTTTCTTCTAGATGTTGTGCATGTATGCTAATCAATAAGCACAGGAGGTTTGTTTCAGAGAACTGGATTTATGGCAAGCTCTGTTTCTAGTGACTGATTTATCTCTGTTTTTATGTCTGTCCTGCACCAGTTCCATAGTTTGAAACACTGACTGCTTCAACTCCCAGCAAGAAATTGTAAGCAGCTATCTTCCCATTTACTTAAAACATTAGTTGGAGCTGCTTATCAACTGTGCTATAATCAAAGAGTAAATGGGCTCTTGTGCATTTAACTAGACTGTCAGTACTCTGCTTTACTTCCTTTTTTAGGACATATGGGAATACAAGCATAAATGCAGTTTTCTACTATTAAAGTCGGTGCAGTTACTCTGGTTTTAGTCTCAGTTGCTGAGAGCAGAAATTGGGCTTTGACAGTTTATTCTTCTACACACAGGTTTCTCCCATCTCAAGTCTTTGGCATGCAACAATTTATCACTTACCAGGCATGTGTAACACTCTGCATTCCATGAGATTTTCCCTTTCTCTTCCCTTAGTGAGCAGAGGAAAAGAAAAATTGCCACTACCCCATAGGATGCTGATTCTCAGCTGGGGTGCTGTGAGATCTCTTTAAGGGAGCTGCGCTGCCTGGCCCTTGCATAAGGAAAGATGTGCTCTCCTCCCTGTGTCTAGTACCCTGTGCTTGCCCTCAGCTAGCCCTGCAGTGTCTGTGGCTATTCCTCTGAGGACTACTACTGCTGACATTGTGCCATCAGCCCCTATGCCTGCTGTCCCCCCTATTCCCAGCCATGTCTCTGGACATGCATCCACAGCTTCACTGTGCAGTTCAGCTCATTTCCTCTGCTCCTCTCAGTCTCCCAAGGGTGGTGGGAGGGGCCCCAAAGGCAGTCATTAGCATGTGAGACCCCACAGGAGCATGTTCAGTGGTGAGGGCTATCCTTACTCCCTCAAGTACAGACTGGGGATTGGGAGGGAGCAGATGGGGAAAGAGCAGAACATGACAAGATTAGGTCCTGCCCCCACCACCCTTACCTGGCACAAGCTATATCAGTAGTTCTCAGGGTTTTTTAGTCTCAAGGCCCCTTCCATATATTTTCTGAATTTAGTTTCTAGCTCAGCGATTCTTAACTGGAATCCCACAAAATTCAGAAAACTTATGGAGGGAGCCATATGGCTAAAAAGGCTGAGAAACACTGCTGTCATGGGAGCAGTTAGAAAGAATCCCTGACTTTAAAAAAAAAAAAAAAAAAAAAAAAAAGAGAATCCCTGACTTCAGGTCTTGCTATTGGGAGTAAAGATAAGGTCTTCTGGAATGCCTGGGCATGCTACACATGTGTAAGTGAAAGTGGGGAGTACAAGTGCCTCTAGCATATCAGAAGGGAAAAATTTCACTGCTTCCACTTCTAGCTTGAAATGGAAGGGATCTTTTGCCAGCAGCCAAAATGTTCTGGTATCAGTGCCATTTAGTATGAAGCCTTTAACTGGAAGCACTGCAAGAGGGTTCCATTCTGCCAGGTTTTGGTGAATCGATAGAATTACCCAGAGACAAGGAATCTTAAGGCGAAAGCGCAGAGGTAATTGTGTTGCAGCAAATGTACTAAAGGAACAGTTCTTCTAGGGGGGAAATGATCTTGCTCTGGAAATAAGTTACTTTCATTCCAATCCAGGGTAATATTTCCCAGGTTAGGTCAGATTTTATTCTATTCAATGGGCTGTGTCCTGTGTCTGGAATTTTTTTCCTGTCAGGGTAGGTAAGTTGTTTTCCTGGGGTATCCCAGTCTCATGTTCATGTTCTAAGTCAGGGGCTGTCAACCAGGAGTACATGTACCCCCGGGGGTACTTGAGAAGGCCCTAGGGGTATGTGTGGGTGGGCGGGGATGGAGCGCCAGCACGCGCCATCCTGCACAGGTGCCGGTCCGCGTTTGGCTGTGCCCGCCCCCAGCTTGGCATCTGGCTGCCAGGGGGTACACTTACCCAAAAAGGTTGAAAACCCGGAAAGAAAATTACTGTAAATACACACACTTCTAATCAGTGACTCTTTGCTGCTTCTAAATACAATACACACATGCAGTATGTCAGGTGGAAAATGTTACTAGATAAGAACTTGAATAAGAAGAAAATGTAATGCCTTCTTCAATATATAGACTTTGTTAGTAATGCAAGAATTGTAAATGGTGCAGAAAGTAGGACATGTTTAGTGAAAAGGTTGAAGTAGTTACTAGTGGGACAAGTACACAGGCACAGAACAGAACTAACCACAAACCTGAGAGAACCTGAGCTGCATTTCTTTTTTCTTTTTTTTAATTCTCTTTCTCTTTAATACACACCCTAAAAATATACTTTTATCTTTGACCAACACAGGTCAGCTGGCAAATGTCTCCTGGAAAACATCTCCTTATGAAGCCTGGAGAAACCCAAAGAACATGCCTTGACAATTTTGGGAGCAGCATTATGAGAGAGCCCTTTGTTCAAGATGCACTAAATGACTGTGTTCAGCATCCTCAAGGCTACTCCATGGTGGGCCTGCATAACCTTGAAAGTAGGGTGGAAAGAAATATCTCTTTCCATAGCTTGGCTTTTGTGGATGAGATGAGTGGACAGGAGAACAGAGCTATACTTGCTAACAAGGAAAAGTGCACTTTGGCACAAAGGGCCTTCTGCCACAAATCATTCTCCTTCACTGACAGAAGCACTATGTCTACCATGGACTCCACTGGAAATCCATCCTTTCAGGTAAGGGAAGGAGCCACACTTCCCTTGGACAGCAGTGGCAATTTCTGCTCTCCAGGCTTTGAAAGTGAAAGTGGGGAGTACTGTTCAATCATGGACTATTGCAGAAAGAGTCCTGTCCCACAAGATACTTCATGTCCAGAGGATAAGGGTGTATGGCATAAAAGTGAAAATCCAGCTACAGGGTTCTGGGGAAAACAGGACCCAGCAGAGAATCCAAGGGAAAAGACAAGATCAGTAAAGTTTAATGAAGATGAATGTAGAGTTTTGAATTTACCTTCATATTTGCAAAGGGAGCACCATTTACATGACCCTCTACAATATCGTGTGTGTTCAGAAAGAAAAAAGTCAGCATTCAAATCTGAGGCTGCTGTTGTATCAGACAACATACTGAGCAGCAGCAGCAGCAATCCTCTTGCTTTATCCCAGGAAAATGAATGCTATCCCCTCATTAGGGAATCAGATATTAACAAAGGAAACCACTTGGAAAATTCAAGCAGTCCCCAGAATGCTCAACTAGAGCGCCAGCATACCCATCTTGCAGAACCTGCCCACAGTGAACCCATTTATGCTGAAAGTACCAAGAGGAAAAAGGTGCAGTTAAATAATTCTGACGCACATACAAAGACAGACAGGCCTTCATACAGCCCCATCAAAGAGCAGGCTGATGGCCCCTGGAGAGATGGCATGCATCGTTTGAGCAATGAAACAGAGGATTCCACCACGCAAATAGCAGCAAAGATCACAATTATGGCAGCGCATGCGGAGAATGACAAGAAGACAATATTTCTTAGCAGCCCAGACTCAGCTGTTGGGGTCCAGTGGCCATGCATTAGTGCCTCCTTTCATCCTGATTTTGCAACACCATCGCCAACCTTTGGGTATGGAGAAGGCCACCAAGCAAGTATTGGGATGGGTCTGGGTGAAGACAGCCATAGATTTCATCAACAAACAGACAGCAAGTATTTAGTTAATGAGAGCCCTTCTGTTCCTCCCAAAATGTCCAGAAACATCCAGACTAGCAGTGAGGAGATGCACATGCCTGCAGTCAGCTCTCCTGTGGCAGGACTGCATGACAGTGATGATCATGATGGTCCCAGCACCCAACTCTCTTCAAGGAACAGTACCGATACTAGCGTTTTGGAGGCTTTGCCCTCTTTCTGCTCTTATATCAATGGGATGTCAGCAGAGGAGCTCAGCAGGGGTCTGCCAGTCTCCTCCTATGAGAGAAGGCATAAAAACACTGTTGCAGCATGGAGTAGGCAATGCCGAATAGAGGAGGAAGAGGAGGAAGAGCAGGAGCTCTTAAACTACCCACAGGCAAGGGACATGGATAATGGACCAGCTAGTGCTCCCAGCAATGTCACTGCCCATCAAATGGAAGACTGCAGTCTTCAGGAAAACAACCCTGGGATGTGCAAATCAGCATCTTTTGCTTTTGATTTCCCTTCAGACAAGAAGGAAATTGAGGAATTTGTACCTCCTCCTCCACCTCCAAAGAAACAATCCAGGTACAGTTGGATGTATGAAAGTGTTCTGATGTTAATTTTTGTACTGAAGATGATTACAAGTTATGTATTTAAACCCAAACAGAGTTGCTTGCTGCAGGGATGAACCTAACTGAAGGAGGCTTTTCTTTTTTCATCCTGATTTAAAATATGAATGGCCTGATAAGAACTGACTTTCTGGAATTGCTGTGCAGCTGCATACTTTCTTTCCTATCATGCCAGATCTTTATAAGCCCCTGTACAAATGCTGTGATAAGTTGTGGCAGTCCTTTAGAGTTGATATAAAAAAGAGCTTCTGGTTGCACTTGTTTTATGTGCCCTTTTCTTCATTATATTGATGTAAAGACACAGGAAGCTCTTAGCATTTCCTAAGTCAGACGTGGACTGAGAAGCCCTGTCATGCATAGGAATACTCAGATACCAACCAAAGAACAGGTTATAACATCCTAGACAATATACATTATTAGAGAGAACCCCTAGTTAAGATTCACCAACACTTTTTTAGTTGCTTTTAACTTCGCAAAATATTAACTGTTTGGGCTGAAATTATGCCTAATGGGTGTCTCCCTTAGGCTGTTTTAGTAGTAGTAGTAGTAGCAGCAGCATTGTTTCAACTAAAAAGGACTCAGCCATTTCTGAGAACAAAGGTAAGAGAAAATACATCATTTTGTATCTGTTAAAAAATTGAGAAGCTCAAGCATCTACAGGCCTTGAAGTAGACATTTAAAAGTTGTTGGGGAGATACGAAAGAGGGTCCGTTATGTGATCAGGTAACTAAAGACTGATAAAATGTACTTGCAAAGGGACAGAACTCTGGTTGCACAAACCTGCTTAACTCCAGAATTTCCTAACTTCTGAGTGTTTGACTTTGTTTTTGCATTTAAAAGAAAGTTAAAGTAGCAATTATGTATATTAAATGTATATGGAAAAGAGCTATCCCTCTGAAAGGTCTGCTGCCTTCCAATAATAACTGGTCCTCTCACAATTTGTTACATTATTTTTCTGCATTTAAATTTGTGTCTCAATAAAAAAATCAAATGAAGACCAGGACCAATGAATACAAACTCCTGGAAGACTGCTTCAGGCTTAATACCAGGAAAAACTCCTTCACAGTCAGGGTGTCCAGACTATGGAATAAACTCCCTCCAGAGATGGTGCAGTCACCTACCCTGGAGGTTTTCAAGAGGAGACTGGACAGTCACCTCTCTGGGGTCACCTAACCCCAGTTGTCTTCCTGCCTAGAGCAGGGGGGCAGGACCCAATGATCTGCAAGGTCCCTTCCAGCCCTAACAATCTATAAATCTAAATTCTTCCCAGGGCTCTTGGTAAATCAGGCAATTTGGTAGATGAGGTAGATACTTACAATGGGTATGTAGAAGATGAAATTAGATTAACAAATCCTTCCATTTTATAACTTGTCCATTCCTCCCCAATATGATTAAGTCACAAGGCGTGTAACTTCTAGTGCAGTTTTTTATAAGTAGAGGAGAAAGAAAGGTGTTTGAAAAAGAGAGGCAAGTCCAGCTACTAGGCTTTGAAGCCAAAGGAAGTGGTGAAACTGGTTTACTTGAGAATTTTAGTTTGCTGTTGTGCAAATTCAGTTGCATCTTAATGTTCCGTTGCTGAACTTGAGATTTCTTACACCTTGCATAATAGAGAAGATGAGTTTTTAGAATAGCTAAACAATAGACAAAATGCATTTCTGTAAAAAGGGAAAGAATAGAAAGCTTTAGAACTCCTCAGCAGTCAGAGAAAGGAGAGCATTCATGGAAGGACATCTTTTCAGAAAAGCCTTATGTCACACATTCTTCTTGCTGTGTCAGGTGCACCTCCAGATTGACATGGAGGGTAAGAAAGGGACCACAGAGAGCCTGCTTTAATATCAAATATAGCAACAGAAAAATATTTTGACTCTGTGTACTTTTGTCCCTGGCTGCTGGCATGTTGTTCCTCACATTAACCTGTGGCTTGTGACTGTGTTCTTTCCAGAATACTTAGTCTGGTTCAGACTTTAGCAGAATAGAAAGCTGTGAAAATACGTTGCTGTGGAAGAGAGAGTTTTGCATCTCATTCAGTATCACTTGAATGCACAAGAATTACAGGAATGTAGGAAACAGGAAGTTATTTATGGAGGCAAGAAATGTGAGGTGCTGGCAGAGCCTAATGAAGTCAGGCCAGGGCCTTAGACTTCATGACAGCCTATCTGACCCTGCCCTTCCATCATTGCTCTCCTCCCCCACTTTAATGTGGTAAGTGGCTGTTTCCTTCCTGAAAAAACAGAACAGTAACATGGAGCCCCTTTTCTCCACCAGGAGTTGGAGTTTTCCTATGGCTGCTGAGCTCTCCTTCCTTTCTCCCCAGGGTTGCCACCCTAGTAGGGATGGTGATCTTGGGCAGGAGGGCTCTTCAGTTCTAATATGCTAGTTGTTGAAGTATGTGCTTGAAGGGCCTGCTGTGTTCCTCTCCTTCTGCTGTAGGACCGGCAAAGGCCCCTCATAATAGTGTGTGTTGGAGTTAACACTCCAGGGAGCCTGATGGGGAAACTTCCTCCCCTCAGTGTCATCACAGACTACCTGCGTACTCAGGCAAAGACTACTGCAGCCATTACTCCTCAGTCCCATTCAGAACTTGTCTTCACGCACACAAGGGTTAGAAAGTTATACTTTAAAAAATGAAAGTTGAATTTGTATGATCATATGTTCCCACATCTTGGGATCCCATAAATCAGTTCTAGTTATTAAAGTAGGCAACAGTGTTATGTTTTATCCACTTGTGTCTTCTGACAATAGACGAGATATGTGGTGTATCTGCATAGTAGATGCCTTGATCCCCTCCATTCCAACTATCCAAAGAGCAGATATTTCCCCCCAGCTGCCAACTCCCCTGTAACAGCCTTAAAAAGATCAGGTCACAGTTTCACAGGTTTCATAAATCCAAAAATATCAACCTGTTCACCTTCTTTGTACATGTTCTCATTTCCATTTTAACTTTTGTTTCTCTGAGCATGTTTCATGCACAGCATAGCACATTGCTTGTGTGTGGGCCTGTTAGCATATGTGCAGAGATATATGTAGAATACCTGTATATAGGGTAAGCATGTGTTTATATTCCTCCTCCCTTGATCTGTGTGCAGTGTTTGCCAAACTGTGGTTCTGCTAAATATGTGGAAACTTAATAAGCATTTTTCATATAAAGGGTCAGACCATAGAATTTAATCATGGAAGTCTAAAAATCCACTTTGGCTTAAGCCTAATCTGTAGGTTTAAAACTAGTTCCTTGGCTGCTGCTAAGGAGCTCACAGTACAACTTGGGACAATGCAGAGGTGACTTCCAGCCGAATTCATGTCTTTCCAGTGCTGGAAAGTCTGTAAAAGAGTGTATCTGTGCTGGAAGAACCTTTGCTCTCAGAGCTATGTCAGCAGAGCCGCCTAGTGGAGACAAGGCATATGCCAGCAAAAGAATTTGTGTTGGCATAGTTATACCACCTCCAGGACTATCAGGCATTAGGCTAAGATAACAAAAGCACTCTTCTACAGCCGTGGTTGCATCTATGGAAGGGTTTGCCTCTAGAGCTATCCTGGTTAGGGGATATAATGATTTTTTCATTCTCCTTGTCCACATAGCAGTATTGACAAAACTTTGCCCTCCAGACTTGACTCAGATTTAGTCTTGGGCTTTTGTTAAACCTGTTCAGAGGACTACCTAAACAAAGCCAGGTGTTACTGGCCGCAGGTGACTATTTGATGACAGGCAGGGACGGCCAGCGTGCAGGAAAGCACAGGGCAGGTCAACTGCCCACAAGCCTTGCTCCCTGGTGTCTCAAAAACAAACTGTGCCATTGGAGCTATAATTCTGGTTCTGGCACTGAAGGGTCCTTCCATGGTCAGAAACGCTGGTTATGGGACATTTTGTGCTATCAGAGCAGTGTAAATTGGATGCAACAGAGGCTGGCACCTAACACCACCATCTGAAAACAGTTGCTTTAATGTGCACCTTGGAGAAAACAGTTCAGAGCATTCATCATACTATTAAAATGTTACAGGAAAAGGGGCAACATTTAATATGCCTATGACAGAATAAAGGCAATACCAGTCCTTTAAAAACACTAACCTTGCAGTGCAAGAAAAGGATTGTGATAATCTATACTGAAATATAGTATAGTTGAGAATACGCTTGATCTTGGTCTTTTGGCTAAGATCAAGCATATTTATTCTCAACTGTGGGAATTGTTTGAGTGGGGCACATCTAGAATTTCTTAAAGGGAGGCTTGTTACTCCACCCCTCAGACCACAGAGAGTAGGAGTGAGGAGTGGCTGGAGCCTGTGGGCTGGAAAGGGACACTAGGGAGCCACGCAGGGATCAGGTGCTTGAATGGGGAAACCCCCTATCACTGCTGCTACTGCTGTCCCCATCTGACACAGACATGGATGGAGCCTCAGAGACAGTGGTGGCAGGAAGGTGAGGTTCTTCACTCTGGTACCTGCTCCCTGCCCTCTCAGTCCTCATGTGTCCCCTGTTGGCTGGGAGCAGATGCTGGAAAGAGGAGCCAACCCCCTGCTACCACCACTATCCTGTGAAGCTTGGATCCCTGTGCAGCTTCTCCCTGCAGCCCCCAGCAGCAGCAGGATGGGAGAGGCTCTGGGACTCTATCCATGTCTGGGTCAGATAGGGTCAATGACAGCCTCACACATATTCTTCCTTTAAGTGCCTCTCCCCAGCCTGGCTGCTCCCTCCCCTGCCATTTTCTATGCTGGTAGGGAGGAGGTGCTGGAAAGAGAAACCTATGCAGGCCCAGAGCAGGCCCTGGCTGAACCTGGCACTTCGTGCAGCTGTTCCCTGCAACTCGCAGCTGGAGCAGGGAAGAGGGAGCTATGGGGCTCCCCCGGTGCTGGGGTCGGCTGGGAACAGTGGCAGGGCATCCCCTTCCAGCACCTGCTGGCCAGCAGGGATCACAGTGGGGTTATGGCAGAAAGAAGAAACTAGGCTGTTGCTGCTGATGTTCC